CCATTTTATAAATACTGTTTCAGGTATAGTAGAAGCTATTACACCATTCAGTGTAGTAAGCATACGACACTTATTAAATACATCAGCAATGGATATCCTTTATTATACAAGTCCTCTTTATGGAGGGGAAGTAAGAGCTGGCTTACAGAAGGAGTTAAATAGATTGTATTTTATGTTTGCTAGTCGACATCCCGGTTGGAAAGGAAAAGTTTCAATTTTAGCACATTCTTTAGGATGTGTAATTGTTTATGACATTGTCACAGGTTGGATGGGTCCAGATACAAGACCTCCATCCCCAGAAACACAAGAAGTTTTAAAGCAACGGTTACAATTCCCAGTAAGTGTTACTGTTTACTGTATATTGTTTTGTAATAAAATGTGAAATACTTATCTATAACATTTATATACATACATATACGGTGTGCTGCAGTTAAATTAACAAACTTCACCAGCATGTTTTTAAAGTTATTCTAAACAAAAAATATGATATGAAAAATGGGTCAATTTAGCTTCGTTATCGAGATATGGACCGAAATATTGATACGTTCTAGTTGTTGCGTTAAGAGATTATATTCTTGTCCTGATTGGGATAAGCTGTTCATTTCTGCGGTATTTGTCTTGTAATGATAAGAGTAAAACATTGACCTAGCTAATGGTATTCGTATATATGACAACGATATTAACAGCGTCGCCTATGCCGCTTATTCTTTAATTGTACGACATCAAATGCTGTTCGGTAAAATACCTGCAAATTTTTCATTCAAGAAATGCGCTGGTATGGTGTTTCTGTATGACTTTTATAATAGGTGTAATATCAGTATCAAACGCATTTTCAGTGTAATGTAAAAGAAATAATTAAGCAAATGTTAAGAAACTTTAATCGAACCGTGATGTAGGTAACCTTTTTTTTACTTGTAATAACAATTTGAACACGCTGGCAAAGTTTGTAGGTTTAATCGCGAAACATCCTGCATAATAATAGTTAAATGTTTTCATTTTTCCAGATTGAAAATTTATTTTGCTTGGGTTCTCCACTATCAGTATTCCTCGCATTACGTACGCCTTCTCCATCCAACAAAACAGATGTGATGCCACAAGGTTTATGCAAAAGATTTTACAATATATTTCACTGGTCTGATCCTGTAGCTTATAGAATGGAGCCACTTCTAGAGAGGGGATATAGCAAAATTGAACCTGTTCTTATTCCACCATATGGAGGAGATGATGGTCATCAAACAGAACAATCACCTTCAACAATGAATAATGCTGATCAAAATTTTTCTCCTGCAGGTATATGAAATAATTTTTATTTGTGTTTAGAACAATATGTTTTAGAAACTTTAATTACATTTGTATATATAATCCAAAACATTGTATAACAGAAAATGATGAAAGAGATGAAAATTCGGTAGATATATCTAATCGCACAACAGATAAAGGTTGGAGTCTTTGGGGCTTAGTTCGAGCTGGTTGGAATGTTAAAGAAGGTGTTCCTACACCACTCCAACCAGGTCAAGGTAAAACTATTATATTAACTTTTAATTCATGCAAAGATATTAAAAGTTGTCTCACTAAAAATAATGAAAAATTGTTCTTATATTTATTAGAATTAGCACAACGATTGGATTATGTACTTCGAGCAAGTTTAGGAAGAAATTATTTATACACATTAGCAGCACATACCACATATTGGAGTAACTACGATGTAGCTTACTTTGTGCTAACCAGACTTTTTCCAACATTAGAGACGTGATGTTGGTTTGTACATTTAGAATGGAATTCAATTAGATTCTATTAAAATTTACTAGTCCACTGTAGGCCTTTGAAATTTAATATTGGAAGTAGGCCTACCACCAAAACAATCTGTGATAATGAAAGAAACGATACAATAATGTTATGGATTCTATGTAATCGTTTTATATCGCTCGCATAATTTAAGATTAATGCGGTCGAGTTTCACAAATATAAAGCTTACATGCGTTTTTACGTATTCCATAAGATAATTTGTTTACATGCAATATTACTACAATTACTTTAATCATTGTTTTAATGATTACATCTTTATTTATTAGTAAGTTCTTTATCGTTAAAAAAATTAATTTTATAACCTACATTAAACATAAAAATATAGTTTATGTAAAATGTTTATTTAAATTACTGTAACTGACAAAAACTACGGTGTCGTAAATCTGTTCTCTATTAGACAACTTACATTATTGACAAATTATTATTTATATTTCAATTCAATTACAGGTCAAACTACAAAAATAATATTTGCTTTATGTAGCAA